ACCACACCAGGACTCATGGATGTAGTAGCTCAAAACACCAACAGGGAGGGAAGGAGTCTTCATATCAAGTAGCAATGCTATTGCCTCTGTATACAGGGTTGATAGGGATGGGCAACTTAGACATTGGCTACCTCAAATGAGGAAGCGATAAAGACACGAAGTGACTGGCTTTAAAGTTTTTAAAAGGAAGTTTAGTTTAAGAGTGGGGGGGGGGTAGGGAGTGGAAAGATAGTGTCCCCACTGAATAGTTTTCATCTTGTCTAGATGGATCTGGTCAAAAGAGATAGTGATAAGATTATTATGATTCAATAGTGAGTAATTGTTATCATGACTAATTACAACTGTCACAACTGTAAAGGTAGAAGTTTTATAACAACAGCAGGGGAGTAGTTCATCTTACAGTCCAGAAACAGAGGACCCTAGGACCATCAAGGGAGAAGAGCACAAGCAGAATGCGGGACCTTATCCAGAGAAGCAATGACACCAGAAGATGGAGGCAGAGATGGGTTCAAGGAGAGAGGGAGCAGTTGAAGACTCTGGATTCATGGAAAGACAGGGACTGAGAGCTGACAGTCAGGAGGCAGGCTTGCAGAATGTGCCCTTTGGAGATGTAAATTATTATATATGCCTGAGAGTTAAAAACAAAAACAAAAACCCACAAAACAGCTAAAGTGAATAGAGAGAAATACTGTTAACTGATGGTACATGGAGGAGATTCTAATCATTGTAATGAAACAATATGTATGATTTGTTGAATGTAAAACTGATGATCTGCTCTGTAAACTTTCACTCAATTCACAATGAAAACCTTAAATAATAATAATAATGAAGTGATTTGGTACAAAATGTCAACAATATAATTTCAGGCTTTATAAACCATTAAAATGATAAAATGTTTAAAATTAAAATAAAAAAGTAAAGCATGTGCCACAACTCTGTGGGACTTCTGTCATACAAGTGCCAACAAAACATGATTCCACCTGTGCTACAACATGTGGATTCTTTCTAGCATCTTCAGTAGATTAAGCTTATTTTCCATGAAGGTTTCCAAGCTTCTTTTTCCTAGCATGTTATTAGACTTCTCCTGGCTTATTATATTATTAACTATAGACTAATTTGAACCACAAGGTCAGCAGTTCAAGTTCACCAGCCTCTCCTCAGAAACCCTATGTAGGGTCGCTATGAGTTGAAACCGACTTAATGGTACTTTAACAACAACAACAATTATATAATTTGAGTCCTGGTGTGGTGCTCTAGGGTGAGCACTGGATTTCTAGGTGAGTTTGAATTGCAAGGTCAGTGGTTCAAATTTACCAGCCGCTCCTCAGAAACCTTATTCAGGGTCACTATGAGTTGGAACTGACTTAACAGCACTTAAAATATAATTAAACTTTAGACTGAAATTTCTTCTTTGAAAATCTTTTAGGTTTGTTGTTGTTGTTGTTGTTAAGTTCCGTCGAGTTGGTTCCAACCCATAGCGACCTTGTATAGGGTTTCCAAGGAGCGACTGGTGAGCTTGAACCACTGAGCTTGTAGTTCAAACGGTTTGCAGTCCGGTGCATTAACTCACAGCGTCACACCAGGACTCCAATCTTTTAGGTAAGTGTAGTCTTATAAGCACTCAAGAAGTGTTTTTGATCGGTTGAACTGGAGCATAAATCAATAATCATAATTTATATGATAATTTATCCAGACCAAAGCAAAGAAGGCTTATAAAATCAAGAGGTGAAATCATTTAAAAGAATTTTCTTCTCAGAGGTTAACTTTTATTCCAATGGCTTGTTTAAATTCATAGTTTTGTGGTTCCAAGATGTCATAGAAAACTTGACTTTTGTCAAAATGGTCTCTAATGTAAAGTAAGTCTTCAACAGAATAGTTATCATCTTTTCCAGTCCAAATAGTCAGGCTGTACCTGCATTAAAAGAAGACAGAATTATATAATTAAAAATGAAAGAAAAGAAACAGTGATGAGCAATTCTATGAATCATAAAGACAGTTACTCTCATTTGTCTCTAATCCAAAATGCACACAGATGAAAAAACTAATTAGCTATGGGGGAATTATAGTTCCCTGTTTCATCTTTCATCAACATTATAGCATCAAAAGGGACTGAGAGAAAAAAATTCCCATTACCATTATCGAAATTAGGCAACTGCTATGTCTGAATTTCTTATGTATCACAGGAATGTTAATGGGTTTTGAAATTCAAACTGGTGGCACTGAAAATGGGTCAAATTTTGGGAAGGATTGAGGGAAACTGTGTTGCTGATCAAGGAAGCTGTTCTTCAAACCAAACACTAAAGCATTAACCTGATTTCTTCAGTCAAAATCGATTACCAGAAGAACTGCAACTGCTGCTGACATCACAATCACTTTGAGAAATCCTATTATCCCTCTTAAGGAGCTCTGATAACATAGTGGTTAAGAGTCAAACTACTAACCTCAAGGTCAGCAGTTCGAAACTACCAGCCGTTCTGCAGGAGAAAGGTGAAACTTTCTGCTCACGTAAAGATTTACAGGGTATAACCCTAATAAAGGGTTGTTATGAGTCAGAACCGACTCCATGGCACACCACCACTACCACCACCATTATCCCTCCTGGGAGTTTAGCACGAGATTTCTGAATGCCAAGAGATATCACTAAGAATGCCAAACGGAATAAATTTAGCTGTGTTTCTGAAGAGTTGAAAGCAATGATAATACATGCAGATTTATTAGGGATGCAAGAATATGCTCAGAATTTCAATGTTATTTAAATAGTATATTTTCATTTCTTCCAGTGACATTACTCCTATTCCATTAGAAACCAGGGAGACAGAAATCTGTTAAGTAGTTTCGTATTTATTTTTCCTATAAACTAGTTGGAATCGATGGGAATCAAAAGCATTTTAAAACACTAATGAAAAGAAATACTGTATAAGCAAGGTATATATATATTTCTGTTCTAAGCACAAATTCCTGTTCATCAAGATGGTACCACTATTCTGGAAATATAAGAGGAAAATGTGAGAGTAAATCAAAAAGTATTGCTATAAAATAATAGAACACTTTCTTAAATAAAAACATAAAAATGTCAAGCTATTTTTTCTTGACATATTCTCCATCTAGAGCTATATACTTCTGAAGGTGGTGTTTCTTTTGCTCTAACCCTTCCTTGAAGAATTCTGCACCCTTAAATTTACACCACATCACACAGTGGTTTTGGCATCCTCAAGGGACTCAAATTGTATTCCTTTTCTGCTGTGTCCGACAATTGGCCTTTCCCTGAGACCCATGTGGAAAGATTAAACCCAAAGTGATTAAATGAGTAGCGGCGACCGGAGATTAGAAATAAAAGGAAGACACAAGACACAACTAAAATATAGCAAAGTTGGGACCAGATGAGCCACAGCACTCTGATGGAGATACTGTGACACCACCCTACATTCAGCTCGTTTATTACACAAATCAAAGGAGACAGCTGGGGGCAGGAAAAAGATTGCAAAAAAACTTTTGGTGTATAGATGCAAGCAATAAGTGGGACTTTATCAGAAGAATGTAGTTGCTAGGAAAACAGAAATAGGGTAGCGAGATGTTTTTGCAGACTTGAACTTAAGGCCATTGCTGCGTACAAGGAAAGACTTTACAAATTCCTTGTTCCCTGAAGCAGGCTTTGCAAGTTGATCAGGGGGCGGCCTGACCGGGGAACAGCCCGATTTTCTGGACCACAATGTTTAGTTGCAATCCTTTGGATAAACTGTCCCCAAGTCTGAGACCTTCGGTTCAGCCTCTCCCAACACTTTTCAATGTTTTTTTGAGTTTTAGAAACAAAAAGAAGTCTAAAGGAGCAAGAAACAAAAGTCACTCTACAGGGAGGGTGGATAGGGTAAGGTTTCTCAACAAGATTCTCATAGGACAACCCATGATACCCAAGAAAAATGAGCAAATGCCCTGTCATGATGAAAAATATTCCTCAGCTCAATTTTCTGACCTTTTTGTCATTAATGCAGTTTTCAATTTTCTTAAAACTTCTTCATAATAAGCCACCATGATTATCCTATGTTTTTCAAGAAAATCTACCATGATTATACCTTTGGGATCCAAAAAACCAGTCACCATAACCTTCTGAGCTGACCTGTTGTGAATTTAGTTGGCCCAGTAGATTAGCTTGAAGTCACTGTTTTTATTGGACTTTCTTATTTTAAGGCACCCAAACTAGACAAAGGGGTCATGGTGTGATGTTTTAGGACAAGCATGGACTGCTAAATGCAAGGTAAACAGTTCAAGTCCACCAGCTGTTCCTCGAAAACCTACACAGGTGTCTATGAGTCAGAATCAGCTCAACGGCACTTAACAAAACCAAAGAGACTAAGCCAAGTATATTACTGAGAGACCTTGCCTGAAGCCATTCACTGATTGCAAAGATATGCTTAAACATACTTTGTTTAGGATAAACCCTTGCATGTATAAACTGGACCCCAGTAGCAATAGTTTTTTACTTACCTTATACTTTGCACTTTGCCCACAGCAGTGTTATATATAAAAACACTGCCTCCACCCTAAATAATTTTAAATTCGTAGCTAAGAACACAGAAATGGAAAAATTTAAATTAGTTTTGAAACCTTCACTTTTTGCTAAAATGGCAACTTCTTTATTTTAACTGGGCCCATGGTGACAAACCTTATAAATGACAGAGATATGAGCATTTAGATCAAAACAAAAGCTTTCCAGTGTCACCTACTCTATTGTATTTAAACCTAAACAGGGAAAAATTGCTTACAAGTATCTTAAATTATTTACATAGCAACCCTGAATAGGGTTTCTGAGGCATCATTTTAGTCTTTTGTTGTTGTTGTTCAATAATATACATAAAAAGTGCATAAAAGATCAGATCACAGTGGCAGGAGGAACAGAAGATACTTCTTAAAAGAAATACCAGCAGGAAAAAAACAAAACCGGCACTCTGTTTGGCTATTACAAGAACAAGCAAACTGTTCACCAGGGAGCCATCAAGGCAAGCAATCAAATCTGTCAGGAAAAACCCCCCTCCAAGACTGAAACTCAAAGGGAACATACAAGCAGGCATCTAAGCTCGCTGGCAACTGCATTGGTCTATATGTGAGTAGAAGTGGGGGAAAGGCAGTAATAAAGATATGGGCTGAGTTTGACCATATTCCATTCGACTCCTGTCGACCTTGAGATGAGAAAGAAGAGGAAGGGCTGGTTGGTCCGAAGTTTGGGGAGACTTGGGAACTCCTGAGCCCATGGACAGCAACCCAACCACGGAGGGCTAGAGCTGAGAGTGAAGCGTCCAGGCTATATGAAATGAGGGTGAAGCACAAGAATGCCCAAACTTGCAGATAGTACCCATTTGACCTAGATTCGATGGCTTGATGATCAGAACTCAACTAGAGGAAGATAAAGAAATTTGATAAAGGAAACAAGTGCAAATTGCTAGCTACAATTTGATGAACTTGACCTATTCTTATGAATGCAGTAGTTCAAAATACCAACCAAGAGGGGAGGAATCTTCAAATTAAGGATCAAGCCTATTCCCTCTGTATACAGGGTTGATAGGGATGGACAACTTAAACATTGGCTACCTAAAATGGGCGCAGGAGCAGGGCTATAAAGGCACAAAGTGGCTGGCTTACAAGTTTTCAAGAGGGAGTTTAGTTTCAGAGTGTGCAGGGGAAAGTAGAATCCCCACTGAATAGTTTTCATCTTGTCTAGATGGATCTGATGAAAGGAGACGAGATAGTATTCTTTTGATTCAATAGTGAGTAATTGCTATCATGACTAATTGTGATTGTCACAACTGTAAAGGTAGAAGTTGTGTGACAAAAAGTGGTGAGTAATTAATCTTACATTCCAGGAACAGAGGACCCTAGGACTAGCAAGAGGGAAGAACATGAGCAGAACATGGGACCCTAAGCAGTGAAACCAGAGATGGAGGCAGAGGTGATGGCATGGAGAGACACAGCAGCTGAGGGCTCTAGACTGATGAAAAGAGAAAAGTTGTGTGCTAGTGGCCAGGAAGCTGGCTTCCAGAATGTGCCATTTGGTTGTTTAAATGATTATATATTCTTACGTGTTTTTGTGTACATAAAAACAAAAAACAGAGGGACTAGAAGCAAACACTGTTAACTGGCATTGCATGCAGGGGATTGTAATTATTGCAATGAAACAAAATTTGATAGGGTGAGTACAAAAACCGATGTTCTCCCATGTAAAC